AATGACAAAATAGTCATAACAAAACCAGAATAATAAGGTGATATTGGAAATGTCATTGCTTTTTGTAATGAAATATGATACCCAGTAATTGTCTGTTTGAACATTAATTTGAAATTAGAGTTGGCCTTTCAATTTCATAATTAATCTAATGTTCTTGCTGAGCAGAGTCAAATAGATTTAATTTAGTTTCAAATTTAGTTTAGACTTTTCCTTTTTTTGTGCACAAACATGATGAGGACAACAAAACATAAGAAAACATTTGGAAACGTTGGCCAAATAATACAATTTATGACAGTTATGTTTAAACAAGGTTTATTCTATTGGTTATATTGTGAAGACATTGACACATACAGTACTACTACAAGTCTGGCCTGCTTTCAGCTCCTGTGTGAGTGTGTGTGTGTGTGTGTGTGTGTGTGTGTGTGTGTGTGTGTGTGTGTGTGTTTGTTTGTTTGTTTGTTTGTGTGTGTCTGCAGACGCTCTGTCTACAGCTAAAGGCACCCCTGATGTTTGAAGAAAATGTGCAGGTGTAAGAACTCCCGACCTAAAGAGAGAGGGGGAACGTGTGAAAGCCAATTAAGACACAGGCAGAGGGAGGGGGGGGAGCATCTGTGTCCAAACCTTGTTCTTGGTTCACGTCAGACAAGCTGTGGAGAGCTTTCCCGTTCAACACCAACTCCCCCCAAAACACACACACACACACACACACACACACACACACACACACACACACACACACACACTCTCAAGCAACAGTTGTTTTAATTAGCTTCAAAGGAATATTTGTGTACCAGTTATTCACCCTGTGTTACCTTAAATGTAGTGAGGGAAACTTTCCCACATGCCTCCAACAAGGAGGACCACAAAAACAGATAAGATAAGTGAAGTAAATGTGAACGACAATAGCAAAAACATATCAAAACACTGTTGGAAACTCTCACACTAGATGTGCCTTATAATCCAAGTCACATTGGTCTGTTTTCATGCTCGCTACTTCCCAATCTGATGACTTTTAGCCCCATTACCTTCAATTCATTAAGACTTTTCCTCCAGTTTTAGATTCCACATGAATGCATGCAGGAAAAACTAAGATTTCTTAACACAAGGTAAAAAAGGATGAGTAGTTGATACACCAAAGATAATTTTGGGGGGCCTGAAGTAGTCCTTTATTTGAACTTCCACAATCTGTTTAACAATCCATCATTATCTGTGCTTCATTTTGGAAGCAACATTTGTTCTCCAACCATGTCTTTCATGTTAGCAAGGAAAAACAACTCATACATTGCTTGTCTTCAAGGGAATTTCAGGAAAAGGGTGGGAGAAACAAATTATTGTCTTTCCCTACGGCAAGTCTCCAAAAGAGTGAGAGAGGAGGATGATGGGATTTAACAGTTTGTTAGAAGCCGTGTTCCTCCTACACAGAGACACATTGGAGGAAACCTCAAACCCTTCTATAGATCCTGCTGGGTGCATGGCCACAGGCTCTCAGTGTGTGAGTGCACCAGTGTGTTTATTTGTAAGGCAGAAAGTGTGTGTGTTTGTGCAGGCCTCCCGCATATGTGTGTTTGCATGCTGACTTAGAAGTATGTCTGTCAGGCAGGAGGCACACCTGTCTCTGTCCGTCTGAGGGGAGGAGCTGGCAGGGTGGATGCAGTGTCATGTTCTCTCCGGCTACGTCCACACTGTCCCAGCTGAATGAGAAATATTTTTCTTTTCAAATTTCCCACACCCTAAAAGAGAGATTTTGTAATCAGCCTGCAGTGGATAGATCTGAAAAAAACCTTCATTGTTTATTTAGTTTCGTGTGGTTGTGGAAAACTGAGCTTTCGATCCCTTGGCTTTTTCTCCCAGTTCCACTAGATTTTGGCTTTTATACACAATCTACTCCAACACAGAAAAGGAAAAAAATGGGACAAAGAAGTGGCCATTTTTCCATTGTTCATCTTTAAAGGGGCTCTAATATGCTAATTTCAGGTTTCATAATTGTACTTTTTGCCTCTACTGAGACATGTTTACATGCTTTAATGTTAATATTTGTGCTGCAGCACCTCTTTTCACCCTCTGTCTGAAACCAGAGCCCAGTCTGCTCTGATTGGTTAGCTGGCCGGCTCTGTTGTGATTGGTCAACCGTTTAGAGATGTCCCGCCCCTTAGCCTAACATAGAAAATGTGTTGGAGCGCTAGCCAATACAAGCATGAGTGTTACATTGTGATGTCACTATGTTGCAGAAGTAAACAAAGGATTCCTATGGAGGCGTTTCAGGCACCACACGAGTATGTGGGAGAGAAACTCCCTCTGGAGGGAACTATGGGATTTTAGACTTTGCAGACCATTTACATGCACATAAACCTATATGATAAAAACTACAGGAAAGGGAAAACCCCAATAAAGCACAAGGGCCACTTTGTGAGATCAACCAGAAAATGTTAGTCTATCTATCGATCTATTTCATCTCCATCCTCCCTCTCAGCGTTGATAATAAAGGGTCGTTTCAAATTCAAATATTCATAAATTCTAATATCCTCTCTCCCCCATCTATCTCTGCATCCTCTGTCTCGCCCACACATTGGCGCTTGGCCGCTGCCTGACAGCAGACAGAAAGGCTTTAGAGGAAAAGGAGACAGAGAGAAAAAAGGAATAATTCAAGGAATGATGGATAAAAGACAACAATTAAAACAATAGAGAAAGAGCAAGGCAGGAAGAAGTAGAAAAAGAGATCTTGTCAGGGAAGGAGTAGCCGTTAAACAAAGTTGTCGTTTCACAAAAGAGGAGGAAGAAACTGTCGCAGGGACGAGGCGTTCTCTTGGGAAAATATGACAGGAACTGTGACACGTACACACGCTTGTAGCATCGCACACACAGATGCACACACACATGCTCGCTGTGCTGCGAGAGCTTGCGTCATAACTGTAGTGTTAGTTCCACGCAACACAGACACAAAGCATGATGGGAGTGTGGGAGGTGTAGGACCATCATTATGTCAGGAGCTTATCCACCTGACAAAAAACACACACTATAACTGCTTGCACATACACACTCTTTTGTGAGTTCAATCTGCTCCAATTGTCTGGTCTGTTTGTGTCTTTGTGTTACAAGACAAGAGGCAATAAGACAAATGCGTACACACACACACACACAACACACACACGATTGATATGTCTGTTAGCTAGAGCATGTGTACATTTTGTGTCTATTTCAGTGTCTTTGTGTGTGTACAAGTATTACTCTAATCGCTATTCAAACAGCCACATTAAAGGTACAATGGGTAGGATTTGACAGTTGCGATCTGTAAACACGGCTTCACAGATAGCCCCTCCCCTTCGGTTTTACGATGGTTACGTTTCTCACCAGGGGTGAAAGCTGCCTTTTGGATGATTGCTCACAATCTAGTACCCGGTCAGTACTTCTTTATAAAAGTTGATACCCAGTAATGCCCTGTAATACAATCAATTAGGGGAATACAGGCAGAGGCAGGGTCTCATGCAGATACAGACATCATCTTGACCCTTTTAGGAGTGGGACTTTATTATGGAACTATTGATATTGTACTGCTGCAATTCTATTGACACAAATCTAGTCCCTAAAATTCAACAACTGACTTGGTTTTTAGTTCTAGTTAAGGGTTGGACATGGATTGTAAAAAATAGTGAAAAGCACCCCTTTTATATCAATGTATCTTTGATATAAAGAAAACAACACGATTGAGATGGAAGTAATTTAACTCTGAGTCAAAGGAATTTCTGTCCAGGAATCTATTTTAGAGTCGGCAGGTGTGTCCTTGGTCTCCAGACACTGAGGAAGTTATGTGTCTGCTGAGTCCCCCTATAACACAAACTGTGAGATATTACTAAAGAAAGAAGAACCAGGAAAGTGACCTAAATCCACTGGAAAATGTAGAAAATGTGAATTTCTCCGAGAACTGAAGGCCCCCGGCTGAGTTACAAACATTATTGAATTAGACCTGGGAAAAGATGTAAACTAGAGTCATTTGTTCCAGATTAATCAATTTCTAGCATCAAAGGCTGCAGGGTGCATCTGCAGTTCAAAAAGCTCTCACACTCTCACTTTGACCCCATAGTGTAACAAAAAGCAATAGACACGTTTTCTTTCTTCATATCAATTTCATTTTACAAAATGCTTCTTTTGAAGGCATATCATTGCCTTTATTCAGAATAGCATGAATCTTTTAATTCACACAATAACAAGTAACTCAGAATGAGTTAAATGTGTGAGATAGGATTCATTTTTTCATAGCATTTCTAAAGTGCATCACACATGTGAATCAATGCCAGATGAAAGGGAGTACGTCATTCTAAATGTGCGCTCTCCTTTTGTTTGTAATAAAATCTATAAAATGGTGATGAATCCGGTATCAGTTGGAGTATATAATCACTCTATTGCCGCGCAGTTATTTGTTCTATTTTTCTTCATGCAGGTGGTGCTTTTCCTCCTCCACCATCTGTGAACTGTTGATGTCTTTTGCTGCATTCATAGGAATTGTAATGACGCCTCGGTTGATGGTAACGGTGCTTTCAGAAGTCCCTCGAGCCACTGATACAGTAGATGCAAACAATTTGCTCGTAGCTTCCGTTACGTAGCCGAATCCCATGTGAAGAAAAAACGAATGAAGAAAAAAAGAAAATCTAATAATATCAGAGACAAAGCAGTTTGAAAGGATTCAACCATTTCCTGTTCCTTAAATCAAAGTATGTTTACTCCCCCCCCACAGAACACCTAATTAGGACATTTATTAAATGTCTGTACATCAAGAACGTACAGTAGATATCAAGCATAGGTTAATAATACCCCTGTGGTAGTGCATGTAATCTTGGAGGAGGTTGATTTATTAAATCCCCCCAAAAATAATTTGATGCGAATATACCTGAATGTTTCTTGTTTTTGTTTATCTTTACGGTTTATTGCACTTATTGTCATCCGCTTTAGATAAAAGCATCTGCTAAATGTAATCTAATCTAATGATATTTGTTGGTCCTCTGCAGGTATGACTATGTAGAGATCCACGATGGGAACTCAGAGACCGCTGACCTTCTGGGGAAGCACTGCAGCAACATCGCTCCTGCACCAATCATATCGTCTGGTGCCTCACTCCACATCAAGTTCGTATCCGACTACGCTCACCAAGGGGCGGGCTTCTCGCTGCGCTACGAAATATTCAAAACCGGTAAGTGGTTGCTTCTGTTATGTACTTCTGCCATTTGGCTTTTTAGCTATCTTTATGTTTATAAAAGAGGAGGAAGGCCATGGCCAATTATTTTAAAATGTGAAGAAGATCTGGATTACAGGTCTAAATTGCTAATTATTTTTTCACTTTTATTAAGATTGCTAGAGAGGGCATTTGGCCTTGGCAGGCAGATCTTCACACTCCGAATGCCCTTCTTTCTTTTTTTCTTTTTTTTCAAATAACATTACTTTTTACAGACATTATTTTGTCTCGCAGAAGCAGGTTTGCATAGAATGCAAATGGAGTGATTTGTAGAAAAATCCTAAATTAACTGAGAAGATAAATACTGTACTATTTATCCTCAGAAATGAATTTCGAATCACGAGTTCATGTGAATGTTTTGGACCTTGATAATTCACTATATATGAGTCAATGAAGAAGGCGCAAACAGATTAGCAGTTCGTCTGCAGAAAATTGACATTCATTTCCCAATTGTATTACATACTGTAGACAGATAGTAGAGAGTTCAAAGAACATATGGAGAAAGAAACTGGGGATAATGGCCAGACTCAAACAGTGAGCGTTGTGATTAAACCCTAGGACTCCAGGGGGCCCCTGGATGTGACATACTTTTTCCTGATAAAGCGATTCTCTACCTAAAGCCTATATTTTGAGAATCCAAGATCCTCAAGGGGCACATTATCCATGTAAACAACCCTCACGCATGAACAGACTTCACAAAAGTTAACTGGATTTTGGTAGGATTTCACCTTTACAAATAGGCTATTAGCAACTGTATTACAAGCTACTCATAGAGGACTCAACATGCTTCATTAGGTGACCAAGTCTTGTTTATCTCCCCGGTGTCATGAGAGACAGAGACGAGAGACACGGCAGAGGACCCTTGAGAGCCCTTTAGACTGTCCAGGCGAGACATCCTTCCCCTTCATGGCACTTTGTGTGTGTGTGTACATGTGTGTGTGCCTGACATGGCTCCCCTTCACGCTGCCATGGGTCAGCCAAAGCGAGACCAATTGAGATCAAGGGCGAGTGAGACAGAGGGGCGCATAGTGTCGGCCCCACAGCCATCTTGTCCCGTTCCCCCTGAAAGCATTCCACACATGCCCGCTTAATTGAGTCCTGAGCCATGTTCCCCAGAGACACCCCCGCACACACACATACACACATATATGCACAGAGGGATGAAGTTACTAACACAACACGTGCGCTTGCCGGTGTTTCTCACTCGCTGGCACCAGCCTTTTGGGAGTTCTTGTGTGTGTGTTTTTTGCCAGACAGAGTCCACCAGATAGACTTAAAAACAACAAGGGTGTCAGTGTTCACACCCTAGCACCCTTGGGAGATAAAGAGAGATTCAAACAGAGAGAGATTTGTGAACCATAAAAATCGATTTTGTACAAATTACATTTTAAGCATCAAACACTTACGCATAGTTTAATGCGAACCATTTAGAAATTGAGAGTTGCTTTAATACGAACATAAGTTAGTTATTCATCGTAAACATCGGCTCACAATTTCAGTACAAGAAAAAACAAAAAAACAAACAGGTATGACCGTTATTTAAAAGGGTTGGGATTAGGGTTTGTAACTGGTTGGATTTGTTAAGGTTAGGTAAATCAAGGTTAGGGTTAGGGTGATAGGATTTACTTTGCCTTTCATAATTGTTACAAATCTTTGTTAAAAATGATATCTGTTTTATGAAATGTGACAATTTCAAAGTCACGGTTTGGGTAGGTTTAAATAACGATCATGGTTTGGGTTCAAATAAGTACTTGGTTTAAGTTCATGGAACAAGAGTGGTTATTGTTGAAAGAAAGCCACATTGACAATCGGTATGAAACCCCTTAAACCAACAGCGGCTGGACAATATGTGTAGGCTGTTGCACTTGAGTGTAAACAGATGTTGTTGAGTGGCATTTGCAGAAACAACCTATTCTGATTTTTGGTTTGGACGGACTTCGTTTAGAGGGATAAACCACATGCAAAAAACCTTTCTGTTTGGAAAGACGTCTGCTTTGATTGATAAATATATATGCATTAGCATATATACTGTACTTCTTCTTTAGTCTCTGTTTGTGTAACTTTGTGTGAGTGTGTGTATTTATGTGTCTAGCTTTCTCTGGCAGTAATAATGAAGCCATTTGGAACATTCAAGCTGTTGCCATACTGCTAGCAAGATCTTGTTATCCTGGAAGGTGCAGCAGAACGTCTGGTTACGTGGGTGACTAGATTTATTTTGTGTGTCTGTTATACTGACTGTATAGCCTCATCGTGAACCGTCAAATATGTTTCTGTCTGTGCTACCCTTGCACATTCTGTTCCGTTCAACCGACTGCAAAAGAAAATTGAAAAGTCTCTCTTTTGTATTTCCAAGGCATTCATTTGATAGCATATATACTGTCACTACTAGAAGCAGAAAATGGAGGGAAATAAGGATAGAGGCACTGTTTAATTAAATGTATTTGTTTTGTCTTTATTACATAATCGCTGGTCTTTGGTTTTTATTTTTGTCTTTAAGAACATTTTATATTATCAGTTTTTTCTTTTTGTATATTAAATTAAGTCTAGAAAATACACTTTGGAGTAAACACATTTCAAATCACTTTTTTGGGACTCACTCGCCATTTTACTTTATAATCTCTGTTACTTGAAGCATTTTCTATTATTTAGTGAGATTACTAAGTGACAGCATTTTCCGTGGGTCATGACTTGTTTAAATTGGTGTTATAATTATTAAACCAAGCTGCTTTAAAAAATAAAAAGTATAGTATATATGTCAGTATAGTTAGTATATATTCTAGTAACCATTTTCTAGTGTTGATAATGGTTTTGCATTTTTCCTTTCTAATCCATCATCCCCTTGTCACTGCTACAATCCCACAATCCCTTACTGTAGCTAGGGTCTGTGTTTTAGAGTAATGAGAATGTGTGTGCGTGTATGTTTGGGGGATTGTCCCCCACTCTCCGGGTGTCCTAATTACTGGACCCTTCAAAGATTAACAGTCTAATGAGTTTGAAAACGGGCAGACATACATGAACAGAAACGCATATCTAACCTAGAAAACATGTAAAAAAACAACAAAAGCAAGCATGTGTTAGGGCTAACCCTGACCCTTTCCATTCTACAGTTACATTTACACAACATACAGAAGTTCACATACAGTAGAAAGATTATAAATATGGACCTATTACATATTGCGCTGATAAACCCTAACCCTATATGCCAACATACACTTGAACAAAGACGTGCGCAAACACTGTAACAAATGCCAAAATTAAGTGCAAACACCAAGACTACTTGAACACAAAAACACAAATACACATGCCACACTTGTTTTTGTTTACAGCTCTCTTGTTTTGCTCTATGGATACTGTAGTAAAATGAAAGCCAATAGGATCACAGCAATCCGGAATGTGGCGACCAATCACCATTCACTGTCTAGGCAGTGTGCCCCCAGCTGTTATTGTGACCCAGAACTCTTCACACACACACACACACACACACACACACACACACACACACACACACACACACACACACACACGCGCGCGTGCACACACCCACACACACATATGAATGCACTGATGCTGGCTGGACAGTTACTCACAAATGCAGGGCAGCTTGCATGTCTGCACGCACATTTTAACTCACTCACCCACATACACACTATTTGTATCAATTAGTTGGACATTTCATTGGCTTACATCCATTTGCTGGTCACTTACCTTAGCCTTAATGTTAACCCCTAACCTCTACCAAAAGCGTTAAGAAATAAGGTTATGATTTGCCCAAACCTCTACCAAAAAAACTAATCATAACCTTATTTTGTAACACTTTTACCTTATGGAGACTAGCTTTGGACCTTAATAAGAAGCGAAACTGCTTAGTTCAACTGTGTGAACAGATTTCTGTGAGTCAGACACACACACACTCCTCAGGGGGTATAATGTGGAAGCTATCGTGACAGTCCTTCCAATAACTGCTGTTGTTTACTTTCTACCAAATACCTTTAGGCACTTCCTCTCTGCCTCTGTCCGACTACCCATCTAGCCAGTTTATTACACCATCCAACCAATCAGATTGGTCCCTCATTCTTCTTCTGGCTTTCATTGGGGAAAGTGGATCCAGTTCTGACCCAGTGTGGAGAGAAAAGGAGCTCTGTGGTAGGGCTAATTAAACAAACAGCAGAGGTGTAATTTCCCTCAAAATGCACAACAGATGAGGTACACCTATGTTCATTTCCTTGGTCTTTGTTTAGCACTTTTCAACATAAGGCTTTTCAACGTGCTTTACAAAGATGAAAAACATAAAGAGCATTAATTAGTAAATAGTGCAGAGGAAACAAATGCGTTGAAATATATTTTAATCAAGCAGTGCCTTTGCCTAAATGTATCTTTTACATTTGTACACTGCCACTTACTGAGAGAGGATTTTAAAAATGGGAATTATGGGATATATAGCATGCTTAGCGCTTTAGCTCAGTGCGTTAGCTCAGCGCGTTAGCTCAGCGCGTAAGCTTAGTGCTTAGTGCTGCTTGTCTCTGAACAAGATAGTTACTCAAAAAGTAATTTATTTCATATTATCAACATCAGACAAATAATGCAGAGCCATAAATGAAAGAGAAGCACTTCTGTGTTTTAGTGACAGCAGAAACTAAATGAAATGCCAACGGCACAAACAGGACACAGACAAACTTCATGTGTTCATTTCTGTTGAAAAATATTTGTTGATGTGGGTTAGTGTTTTAGTGTTTTAGGTGATTGGAATAAAACAGGCAGTCTTTAGAGTTATGGCACACTCTCCAGCACGATAAAATCAAGAATACATATTTCCCTGATTTACTTGTAGTAAAGTAATGCTGGGTTGTAGGAGCTTTTAGCAAATTGCATTGGAATAGCTAAAGGGGTGGTTTTCTTGTGAGAGTTGGATTTCATATGTCAGCGTTAATTTGGTTGAAAAGGGAGTTTATTGTGGGGGGAAATCCCTGCTGTGATTCAGTGACAGAGGCTGAAATATAATGTCAGGGCAGTTTCAGCACCACAAACCTGCAACTTAAATGAAACTGAGGTGGAATCTAACCATATGTATGGAAAACCCAAGCTGTGGTTTGGAACTGTGTGTGGGCCTGCGGTGTGTGTGTCTCTCTGTGTGTTTGCGTTAGAGAGAAGGAGGGCATAATTATGGGTTTGATCCAACTAATAGCCCATTGGCATGAACGACAGTTTAAACGAAAGTATATGTCTGCATGCCAGCTTACCACACACACACACACACACACACACACACACACACACACACACACACACACACACACACACACACACACACACATACACACACACACATACACACACACACACACACATACACACACACACATACACACACACACACACACACACACACACACACACACACACACACACACACTGACAGATTTGTCTCCCCAAGATCACTGAGCCATAAGCACCAGAGCTAGATCTACCCGGCAACACACACACACACACAACACACACACACACACACACACACACACACACACACACACACACACACACACACACACATACACACTTCCTCTAACCTTACCCCATAGTGAAACACGTGTTTCTTTCACAGTCATCCAATTCAAACAGATGGGAAGTGAGGAGAAAAGAATAGGAAATGAGACAGTGGGAGGGAAGGGAGTGATGGAGCTGTGGAAGATGAAAAGGTACATGGGACTATGGTAAAAAAAAAGAACAGCAGGAGAGAAGACAGTTGGAAAGATCAGTAAAAAGAAGAGAAGTGCGATAAACCATTTTCTAAGGAAAGGAGAAATTAATTAGGAGAGAAGTTGAACAGGACAAAAGTCATAGAAATCAGAAATATGTACAGGGGAGACAACATGCTGGTTGGAATAGTTTAAACATACTGTATTTCAAATACATTCCTTTTTTGCGTTTCAGTTTACTTTAAAAATAGAAACAAGGAGGGACAAGGTGGAGACAGACGTGTGAGAGAATCTGGAGAGGGGTACAGACTGAGAAAGAAAGGAGGGCACAAGTGTTTTGGTGATGTTCATGAACATGAAGTAATGAGAAGGGAATAAAATTGCTGCCGGCAACGGAACTGGTCAGGCGTTCACTACACACTCACACACACACATGCTCTTACTCACGCAGACCGGCGCTATCCAGCGACTGACTCTGCAGGGGGGCCAGACGCAAGGGGATCCCAGTGAGAGACAGTGTGTGCCCACGTGCAAGTGTGTGTTTGCTTGTATATGAGATCATTGCACGAGGGGTCACAATAACACGCAAATGAGGCTAGGAAGTGGGACAGAAAAACAGACAAACGGGGATGGATCAAGACAGACAGACAGTCCCTGATGCACTATAAATACATTGGTTGCTGTGGAAAATGGACAATCACATACATGTTTGATAGGCATTCATATAGATTAGCAAGCAAACCAACATGGGCAGGCTTTTTTTTAAAATGTATTTCAACTTCTGTAAAATGTAACACCACATTATATTGGCCATATTACAAATTTTGGAATATTTTACCCTAGGATGCTGCGGTGGAGGGTCAGTGAAATTCCGGAACAAACGTAAACTGATTGAAAATTAAAATAGAAGAGGAAGGGTGGAGACAGGAAAATAACAACGTCAATATTCCTGGCTACACCTAGAAAAGTTTGTTTTCATCATGAAAGTGCAGGGCCTAACGCACACATTCTGCTTGTGTTTTCGTCCGGTTTAGCAATATAGTTTCCATGGAGATTTCCAGCAAAACTAGCCGTTTTTAGCTCTAGACCAATTTCAATATTGACAGCACTCAAAGCCCAACACACACAAGTGAGAAGAAGACACTTTTTGTTCCAGTTATGAACACAACATGGGAGTAAAATCGTCATAGACCCTCGAGACAGACACAAAATGGGGCTAAAACATGTCTGATGCAGACTTATTGTTACACCTAACTATACATAGACACGCACACACACGTTTAAATGCACTTTGCATGCCAGAGTACACGCTCTCTCTCTTAATGTGCTCTTAGACACTTTCTCTTCACAAACTCATGCAAGCACGCCAGCACAATAGCTGACAGTCGAACAGACTGGAGAGAAATGGGTTACCATAAGAGGCTTAGACAGAGAGTGTGTGTGTCTGGGTCCTTGGTCATACATGGCTGGGTAGACTGGAATAATGGTCCAGTTGCTGTGACCACATCCACTCCATAGCATGTGTGTGTGAGTATTAATAGAGAGGGTATTACAGTTATTCAGAAAGGAAGAGCTCCAGATTACCCCCAGATCACTGTCTGTGTGTGTGTGTGTGTGTGTGTGTGTGTGTGTGTGTGTGTGCGTGTGTGTGTGTGTGTGTGTGTGTGTGTGTGTGTGTGTGTGTGTGTGTGTGTGTGTGTGTGTGTGTCTGTGTGTGTGTGTGTGTGTGTGTGTGTGTGTGTGTGTGTGTGTGTGTGTGTGTGTGTTTTTTTGTTTCTCATAACTACTGGACCACCCAACCATGATACTATCAACAGATTACATCTATCTGTCCCTTCTGTTTACATCTTTATCATATCTTCATTCCTTTGTTGCTCTGTCTCCCTAAGCTCCAGTGTTCTTCTTGTCTTTATTCAGGACAGCTAAAGCTCAATCTCTGACCAAGTAAAGAGTGTAGACTGGTGGCTAGAGAGTTGTTTACCTCTTGGGCACTACAAAGGTGCCCTTGAGCAAGGCACCAAACCCGTAACGGTTCAGTCATATGTTTCAGTAACCTATCAATCTGATCTCTCAACATTGATGCATGTGCCTTTTGTTGATCAAGAAATGAACAAAAACAACATAATGAAACCATACATTTTCAGGAAATAAACAAACATTACATTATTAGTATGTCCTGCTGTTTTAATTGAATTCCGTAACTATTTATTAATACGCAAATATCAATGTTTCTTTGGAGTTAATGTTGCCCCTGTGTTTCCCCCGGGAACCTGTCGAGTTAGGGTTAGGGTTAGCATTTTGCTGATGTACACTCAAGACACACAAGTAGACGCACATTGTTGCTACCGACACCCACAATTGGTCTTTCAACCTCTATAGCAGGGGTTCCCAAACTTTTCAGCCCGCGACCCCCAACATAACAGTGCCAGAGACTGGCAACCCCTGTCAACGGGGTTAACTTCTTGTTAAAATGTATGTACTTTTTTTTAGCTGGTAAACCTGAATCAATTCGTTTTCCGTTAATCGTGCCTCCTAGTTGACCATTGTGAAGTCCTTGAGTGAGATTTCTATCAGCAAGATTCACGTCTACATTAAAACTACCGTTTCAAGTTCAGCAAAACCCAACTGGGCTCTAAATACATCCTGTTCTTTGTTTAATGTACATGATGTGGATTCAGAGTAAAGCCAGACTTCTTTTTGGTCAATAAAGCGGGATAGCTATACTGGGAGTCATAACATTGTGAGGCAGTTTGAAAACAAAACAGCACCTCTGAGTAACTTCTGACAATGATTTCATTATTTTGAGGTATCATCCCTTGAACGTTCATTTGTTAAATCTCAAACTACAGTTATTTTTTATTTTCTGCTCAATATGTCTCTAAATATATTTTATGTCTGTGTGTTCTTCCCAGGTTCAGACTGTTCCCGTAACTTCACCAGTCCCACGGGTCTCATTGAGTCCCCAGGCTTCCCTGACAAATACCCCCACAACCTTGAGTGCTCCTTCATCATCATTGTCCCTCCCAGCATGGATGTGATCCTCACCTTCCTCACTTTTGACCTGGAGAACGACCCCCTGCCGGGTGGAGAGGGAGAGTGCAAATACGACTGGCTGGAAGTGTGGGACGGGCTCCCAGGAGGTGAGAAATTGGTCAACTTGATGTGATTATGGGTCGTATTAGACCAGGGGTGTCCAAACTTTTTTCACCGAGGGCCACATACAGACAAATATTTGAAGGACTGGGCCACTCACTAGAGGTCAGGTTTATTGCCTCATAAGTGAAGTTATAAGTTATCAAAATCAATCAAATGTATGTAAATGATGCTTGATTCAAAAGCCTACATGACAGCTTTCCATAGGGTTTCATTAATTTTGTTAGCAGCTCATTCCTTAAAACAGAAGCATTAGATTGCTTATCATGAGAGGAAATAGGAAGGGTATAATTCAAGGTTGCTATGTAAATAATTTATTGGGCTTTTTTCTTATCAACTTAGATTTGTTAGAACACATTTTCAACTTGAATTGACTGAAAGTGGGCTTAACACATGAACACTACTGTGTAATACAATAATACAATAAAAGACAAGCTCAAGTTTCATGTGTGGGCCGCATTCCATTATACTTTTTGAATTTGCTGAGGACCGATTCAAAATGGCCCGCATTTAGTTTGGACACCCCTGTATTAGACAGTGGTGGCAATTCTTGATGTTGAGGATCTTTTTTTAGAGGTGTTAAACAAAGATTCAACCATTTCTGGAGGCAAAACATAGAGTAAAGTTAAAATGTTGCAAATTCTGCCCTGCCTACATCATTATTGACTGCAACTATTTTAGTGGCAATGCGTTGGTAGATGAAAGCCAAGCTTACAGGCAGGATAGGATGTTGGCACCTTCTGTGGAGAAACAACATAGCGTTTCATGGGGGAAATAAAATAGGTGTTGCTGAGAGGAGGGAGAAAAGAGGGGAGGTGAGAGGAGGAACGGTAGAGGGCTCGGATATTTCTGTTTTAGCTGCTGGAAGGAATGGAAGAGTTTAGAAACTCTAAAGTGCAACGATCTTGGATCTGGTTTCAAGAGATGGAAGAGGTAGAAAGAAAAAGAAGGGCAAGGAAAGGTTCCTCCACTGCTGGGTGGACTGGAACAAAGGAAGGAAAAAGTAGATATGAATACATGAAGGCCAGAAGACCTCTGGTCCGCCTTCAAGAAAAAAGAAAAAAAGAGAACTGAGGCAACTGGGAATGGCAGAGGAAGGAAGATTTCTGTGTTCTAAACCATTCTATTCTGGTTTAACTATTTATTTTGAGTTTTTTGTGACATATTTAGGCCAGGTTTCAGAAATGGAACAATTTGATTGGAGACCTTGTTTTATTGCTTAATTCACAAATCTTGTAAGGTACTTAGAACTTTCCCAGAAAAGACTGAACAACATTACGTGTACAGTAAAGGAGAGAAAACAATGGTTATTTTCTTCTTTTAAATGACTTTCGGTATGAATTCAGCCTGAGGATTGAAGAAAAGTCACAGAGATGGTACAAAGAAAAGAGCGGGTTGAAACAAGAAACAGAAAGGAGCCTATAGTCCTAAGTAAGAAGAGAAGACAAGATAAAAGACAGACGGACAGGGAACAAGAATAGCCACGTTCCTTTCTTGTCAAATGTGATGGCGGAAGGGAGCAGAAGTTGAAAGATGTATTCATTCAAAGGAAAAATTAAAAGGCACTTCTAGCTTGATTGTTGTGAGTGCAATAAACCACTAACGTGAAGTGAGCAAAAACAAGGATATGAAGTGTTTGTGGTTGGTATTTGTTTACACCACCTTTTATTTGTATTTGTTTAGCACTTCCAGCAATTGTCATATTGGTGTGGTTTATTGGTATTTAAGTCACCTGTTTCATGCCGCGCATTGGATGACAAAGAAAGACAAACTTGGTCCTCCTTTAGTTTAGTTATTTTGAAATGCGTCACAGCTATAAGCCAAGTGTAGCCTATTTGCAGCTCAATGTATTGGGAAATGAGCCGCCACAGTGCGTTTGTGTTTTACTACAGTGGCTACTTAACTCATTCCAATCAAAACTGTCACATATCCAAATTATGAAGCTATGAAGGGGGGCAATGCCATTGGTTTAACTGTCTGCCTGAGCACATACTGCATGGGGTGAGGCAAGGGACAAATGTGCCTTCTATTATGGAAAGATTGAAGTCATAAATAAAGTGGGAGATGGAGAAATAGCACCGTTTTTGCCTGTAAGCTACAAATAATAAAAATGAAACCCTCCAAATAAAATCTCATTTATTCAACCAGAATTACATACAAACATGGGTTATTTGTTTATTTACAGAAATCATCTTGGTGGATTTGAGATTCTCTTCTCTTTGTCTTTTGTTTTCTCTGTCCGTGCCACCATCAAGAAAATAGTTATTGCCGTTATTTGCTCAAGAGCCCTATTTCAAATATCCACCCGCTCCAACAGGGTAGTAAGAAAATCAATAGCGCTGATCGATTGGAGGCTATTTTCTTCCTCTTCCTCCTCCACAAGGCTCCTGGTGTGTGTACAGTATCTATGTGTCTGTGTGTGAGAGGAGTCAGGGAGTAGCAGGATGAAACTACTATTTGTGCTCCCACCCCACACACACTCACACCCCAGGGCTATAAATCATATTCATCTGTTTGTGTTGACACATACAAGTTGTGGTATTAGAGAAGAGGACAGTGGAGGAATCACTTAGATCCCTGGATTTACACACACATATACTATATATAGTGCACATTGTAAAAGCATGGCAAGGCCAGAGATTGAGTTTATGAACATGAAGGAATGAGAGGCGATGACATGAGAGGGCAGAGCGATGAGAAGGGAGTGATAGAGATAGTGAGAGAAAGGGAAGACAAGCAAACACATGTGAGGATAAAGGGATTGATAAAGGAATGAGATGTGATGTCTTGTGTTACCAGCATCATGAGTTACACAATAAAAACAGCAAATGATGAAATGCATAAGTTGCCGACAGATAACACACTGACCAATCCAATACATCTTGTCTGATCGACAGTGGGCCCTCTGATTGGTCGATACTGTGGGATCAGGGTGCCTCCTGAGATCCAATCGTCCACTGGGATTCTCTCTCTGGCCTTCCACACGGACATGGCTGTGGCTAAAGATGGCTTCTCGGCTCGATACAACATGACTCACAAGGAAGTCAGTGAGAGTAAGTCTAATTTAGGCTTTTTATTTCACGAAATACTAGAATATTGGAAATATCTCTTTCTAAACCTCCCTCTCTCCTGCTCTTCCTCTTCTTAGCTTTCCACTGTAGTAATGCTTTCGGTATGGAGTCAGGAAAGATCACAGATGACCAGATCACAGCCTCGTCGAGTTTCTACGATGAACACTGGCTGCCTCGACAGGCCCGACTCAATTACCATGACAACGGATGGACGCCCAATGAAGACAGCAACAGGGAGTTCATACAGGTAACAGTTTGTCCTCAAATGTACTTTAGCTACCTGGAGCTTATTTTGTGTTCATTATGACATGGCCTCATTGAGGCATTGTAGCCCCAAACGAGCTGTATTTTCTAATGTATTTATGGCATTATAAAAAAGACATACCAAACGTAATACTCAAATACATGTAATAACTACATAACCGTCCACAAATCACAAATAGAGAAGAAGGAAAAAGGAAAAACAGGAAGAAGCCTCCCCCCAAAACAAACAACAACCATAACTTATACGATTGTGCTAACACATATTGGATACAACAACCATGTATGTGGAAGGTTACAAAAAAGTTCATAAACTTAACTTAAAAATATACAATAATACAAAAATAATTTCTTGGAGAAATTCATTCTTCGTGATACGACACAAATCCACGATCCCAATCCTGGAATACAGAATCTTATTCCTGAAAAAAAGTTTACTCTGCCTAAACTAAAAACAGATTCTGCTCCTACTTTAATAGCATCTTTTCTCTTGCGTTGACATGTCGCACATAATAACTTCACCACAGCTATATTTGTGACAGCGTATGTTGGAGAGAGCGAGAGAGAGTGAGTGGGAGGTGTAGTGATATCAAGGTTTAGCAGCTAGATGCCTGGGTAAAGCATTGTTTCCTGTACTTTATCACAGTGCCAACTTCCTGCCATCCCTGTGCCAAGCTTGAGTTATGAGGCTGTCTGGGTGAGAGGGGAAAGGGAGTGTGAGGTTCACTCACCCCTCAGACAGAATGAATTCCAACCTGCCTGCAAGGCGCTCTTCAGAGTGAGGCCTTCTATAAACAACAGATTATCTTGTTGGGTGTCACCTTCCTATAGCCTTGCGAAGACTGCGCACAGGTTTTGTTTTTACTTTGCCTTTGTGAAATAGGCGTCAACTCATGATTTCCCTTCATTAAGTTATCAGTTTGAACCTTTCCTGTACTCAATGTCAGATGTGCCGAAGGAGTTTCAAGAGTCAGAAACTCTCCTCATCGCCTGAATCGTTTCTTAGAGTTCGCCATCTGGTTCAGGATACCAGCGAGAGCCTTTCTGACTTGTAGCACAATAACACCACAAAAAAACTGGCACAAAAAAGCCTTTCTTTTGTGCAGCATACTTTTTCTATCTTTTCTAAAGCCTGTGATTAGACAAACCAAGAGATGCTGCTTCTGAGTAATGATCAAACGTTTCCTCAGTGTACAGAGACAGTGATAAATGAGTGTTTTGCTCAAAGTGGCAAGAACCAAGCAAGCCCTTCTTCTGTTAATTTGTTGGAACACATTTACAGATAGCCAAAGACAAATGTGGAAAAGAAGCAGTAGTTCTGATTGTCAGAGCTCCACTGGGGCCGATGTCTGGGCCAGGCAAACACAGGAAGGGAACTTGGCCAAGAGACAGCATGAGGCCAAGGCCCCATCAGCTCCACGCTTCCTTCCTGTTTCACCTCCAGTGCAGCTGACAGCTCACTCTCTCCGGCCCATACTCTCAGAATTAGCTGACATTCTTGATCAACATGAATAGCTTGAAACACTCCATATTTCTTGAATGTTTTTCCCCTTTATGTCAGATTGCCAAACTGGTCCTCTTAGCCCATGGATAGACCCCGGATTTAAATGTGTATTATTCATCTGCGCCTGGAAAAGCCATGGCCAGAGGCACTATGTTTTGGTTGTCCATCCGGGAACGCAATATCTCAGGAAAGCCTGGGGGGAATTTCTTAAAACTTGAAACAAACATCCATTTGGACTCAATGATGAACTGATTTGATTTTGTTGCTCAAGGTTCAGGGTCACTCTGACCTCACCAAACAAGTATCCAGCAATAACACAATCATTAATATGCTTAAACCATAACATTATGATATTTATGACAAACATACAAACTCCAACTTAACTGATTGGTGGAGGCTTTCAATCACAAGTCGATAATTCTAATTGTTCATGACACATCAGATTTGTGCCTGAAATTGTCTTGATGGTTGGCTATAGGCTTGTGCTCCTCTCATGTAGTCTCACTCTGGTCACCGGTGTTGTGGTGAGGTTGCTGCGTTCCACTGAGGCTCTCAGCTGTTCCCCTGCGTTAGCACCTAGCAGAGAGCAAGGACCCTGCATTTGTGTGTGTGTATGTGTGTGTACTTTGGTGTGTAGTTGTGTATGTGTGTGCGTGCAACCTTCTTTCTTGACAAGCAGCTGTCATAAATGCCAACATGCCTCTCTTCCTCGCATCATGCACCCCCTGGTCTCTTATAACTGAGTGTGTGGGTTCATCGGTACATGTCTCTGTGTGTGTGTGGTGTGGTGTGTGTGTGTGTGTGTGTGTGTGTGTGTGTGTGTGGTGTGTGTGTGTGTGTGTGTGTGTGTGTGTGTGTGTGTGTGTGTGTGTGTGTGTGTGTGTGTGTGTGTGTGTGTGTGTGTGTGTGTGTGTGTGTGTGTTTGTGTGTGTGTGTGTGTGTGTGTTTGTTGATATGTGCCCATGCCAGTCAGGCATGTGTGTGTGGCTATGTTGGTTCAAGGGCCAAGTGTGTGGTTTAAATCTCTCGCCAGGGCACTTAGTTCAATTCCATTCCATATATTTGTTTAAAGATATTTATGCATTTCAGCCTTTATTTGAAAACTGACAGTGCACCTCAGTGTCTTTCATAATCGTACTTGTGATTTGCAACACAAACCTATGATGGACGACAGGTGCAAACGCGCTACAACGGTCCAAAACCTTTTCGTTAGGAGAAACGCTCTGTAGTATCAAAAATTATGCAGATACAGAAATGCAAATGTGCCAAAACACTTAAATGAAGAAACATCTTCACCAACTTAACAACACAAGGGCACTCACTGTCATCGTTGGCACAGTTTGCCAGTTTCTTAACAGTAGGTTATTATGCGTTATATTTCAAATGACTTGGTTAGCTAGGTTAGCTAACTATATTACAGCAGCTATGCAATAATATCGGAAGGAATCATGCGATCACATTGTTAAAATAAGCCAATAAAACTTACCTTTTCAGTTGGCCAACTTCATAATGCCTGAATGTCAACAAGCGCTTGATAGTTTCCCCGTTTCAGTTGTGTTTTGAGCTTATGTAGCGTTTCTTTTATTTGCAGCATTTTGCACTTGCATTTGTTGTAAAGTTGGTGAAGATGGTTTTTGCATTTGCATGTGTTTTGGCACATTTGTGTTTTATATTTGAATTGTTTCTGAAGCTGCGTTTTCGGAGCTGAGTTTCTCCAAGTGTATGCTTTGGGCAGTTGTATCATGTTTACATCTGATGGCCACCGCACATATCAAATCCCACCCCAATAAAACCAGTTGAATAGGAAATGTAATTAAAAGAGTGGTACTAGATGCAACAATGGTCCCGAGGCTAGTATCAAGCTCGGGCATTGCAGTTTTATGTCATGTCATTTAACCACTTGGTCAAGGAGCTCCTATTCCAATCTTTCAGTTCTTTCTGGTATGGTCTAGTGAGGTGGTGTGCCGATTGATGATACGCGTTTCCTGTGACCTCCGTTTGTTCTAACACTCTGTGATTGATGAGAACCCTTCCTTGGAAAGCGCACTTAGGCGCCTCTCTCTCTGGAAGGTCGCAATCTATCGCTCTATGAGAGCTCGATAGATAATCTCTCTCTATATCTCGCTAGTCACTCTCCTCGGTCTCTGGTCTCTGCAGTGCTCTCCCTCTTACTCTCTGTCTCCTCGGTTCATCTCTCTCTCTCTCTCTCTCTCTCGCTCTCTCGCTCTCTCTCGCTCTCTTTCTCGGTCTCTTACTCCACACCCCTCCTCTTCTCATCCATTCCTCTCCTCGGTTCCGGACCATCGATTAGTTGTCTTGGTGGATCCCTGACTGGCCGTAAGGGTGTGTGTATGTGTGTGTGTGTGTGTTGGAAGTAATCTAAAACACCTGTCTCGCTGACAGATAACAAACGCAGCATTTTACCTCCCCCGGTGTTTTGTACTATACCCCAGTGGGACATACGGCACACTCTCTCACGCACACACAACAATTTCTGATTAATCTACAGGTTTCAACAGCTCCAACAGGGGAGAATAAATGTTATAACCTACAGCAGAATCTTTCTCATCTTCTGCTCTTTATTTGTCTGCACCCTCTCTCTGTCTCTACACCTCGGCCTTGTTGTGTTAATAAGGACTTGGATCTCCAGCTCATTTCCTAACAGAGAACATGATTCATGTAAATGTAGGGCTTACACATGTGAAGTATTCATGTTAAACAGTTGCAGATGAACCTCAAGAAACCCTAGATTTTCTATTACTTTAAATGTATTAGAATATTTGAAAATACATGTTCTATTACTTTTAAATTTGATATAGAGGGCTTCATTGTTCTGCTTTGTCTACTCATTGTGGGCACGCTAAAGGAAAACAAATGCGTCTCTACTTGAGTGAGCTGGAAATTAAGGATTTTGAAGCTCGCATTAAGCACACAATGCTTGCCATGTATAATGCAACACAGCCAGCAGCATGCCGGACACGTAGCCTATAGCATCCACAATCAGGATGGGGAGGTGATTATGGCTATTGTATGGGAGGAAATTAAAATGAGCCCCAGATCATTACTATCGATCTGCCAGGAGAGGGCACGGAGAGGAGAGAAAGAAGGAGATGAAAGTAGAGTGGAAAAGGTACGAGATGGATGCTGATAAGTTCAAGTGTATATTTATGAGGTTATGTCCATCTTTTAAACAAATTGATGTTTTAAGAGCTTCAACCTGAGGGCATCTCTTAAGTGTATGACCTGAGTTTTGGGTAAGGTAAAGATTCAATTGAGATCAGATAGGGTTAGGGTCAGCTTGTTTGCTATGTTTTGTTCATGATGTTTTTAGTCTTTGATAAATCCTCCTTTCTTCTCCCTGCCAACAGGTGGACCTCCATACTTTAAAGGTGCTAACAGGCATTGCCACCCAGGGCGCCATTTCAAAGGAAACTGAAAAGGCTTACCATGTCACTACCTTCAAGCTGGAGGTCAGCACCAACGGAGAGGACTGGATGGTCTACAGACATGGCAAGAATCATAAGGTAGGCCCCGACTCATTAGCTGACTTGTTTATTTTTTAACAATATTTTATATGCCAGACTTACTTATTCAACTACACTACTAAGCGATGGAAAAGGGGGGATGTCAGGTCAACAATATGGATTTTGAACAAAACAATGGGAATGGCATCCCAATTTTAACAATGTCTCAAACAAATTACTTTCCCATACAATAAAACTGCATTTAAATTACTTTACGGGGAAGTGTGGTTACTTATGGATGGTAAATGATGTAATTTGAAACAAAACAAAAAAACATGTTTAGCTTAAATTAAATAAGTATGTTTTTGTGTTTTCAATTATTGACATTATAATCCAACAATAAATATTTTATTTTAAATTCAATTGACAATGAAGTATTGTTGAATGTGAACGAAATCTGTAGGTAACCAGCTTAGCCTCCCCTGACCCTCACCCTAATCCTCTACAGCTCAGACTTACGCACAGACCATCAAACAGCAGATGCACAAAAAACACAAAGTAGTCATGGCTAGAGAGAGTCTGGAGGCTCTTAGGTGACAAACATGCCTCGACATGCACACACGTGGAAGGGGCAGAGAAACATATGAGACGGAATAAATGAAGCAACACTTGACCACAAGCCCAAACTCCAACCGGTGTATGCAATTACAGCCATTCCATTTCCACCGCCGCTCAGTTGGCTTCATTTAAGGGTTTACGACCAAGCCAGAATCAGCACACGTCTCCAAGTGATACCTTACATCACTGCAGAGTAGACTGCAGAGTCTGCTTTCCACATCCCATCTGGTTTCTGTTACTCACCGGTCAGAGTTCTGCCTAGTATCGACCAGGTTGGACATGTTTGGAGGCTGTTTCTTTCTCTCAGCGGTGTTAATACACGATGAATCATCATTGAGTGTGCTGCAGTATGGGGGTCCTGGTAGAAAACGAAGCAGACATTACTGAGTTTCTTTAAAATGGTTTCAACTGCAATTAAAGTAGAGCAGCGTTCCAGTGGTTGCGGCTGTTTTTTCCATCACGGCCATTCTCCCACCACCACAGCGGTCACATATGTTTGTTCTGCGGTCTAACGCCACGTCTGGCTTTGCGCTGTAAAACCCTTATTCCTTCATGAACACTTAATACATGCACACACACTCAGATGCATGTGTACAGTGCAAATGCTTACTTTGCTTTGAGAAGGAAACAGGAGATCCAGTCTAACCATCTGGGGATCCTCTGCGGACTGCGTATGGCTTATGGATGTAATTCCCAGAGAAATGATTGATGGATAAAACACAGGGGTTGTGGAGAAAGGCAGTCAGGGAGAAAAATAAATAAATAAATGGATGGATGATAGAAGAATGAGGAGTGGTGAGTGAGTGTAAAGGTAGATCAGGTTTTTTCATTTTTAAGCTCAGTAAAAATTAGATTGTGTTATTTTAATTGGTGAAGTGAGAGCACGTGAATTCACATCTTTTTTTAAAAATGGGGAATTGTTCAACAAATCAATTGATCAATGAATCCACCCTGAAATCACATCTGTTGTCAGTCAAATAGAAGTATTCTGCTGACCAATTATTGATGATGTTTTAAGGGCTGTTGTTGTCACCGCCCATAATCCCACAGATTCCTGGATAACCCTTGATAGCTGCTTCAAAGCTGAATGCCAAGAGAGACGCAAAAGGGTGTGTTGCATGTGAGTGTGGGTCTTTGAGGAGGAGGAGGAGGAGGAGGAGGAGGAGGAGGAGGAGGAGGAGGAGGAGGAGGAGGAGGAGGAGGAGGAGGAGGAGGAGGAGGAGGAGGAGGAGGAGGAGGGGTTTAGAATAAATCAGCAGTAGCTTCTGGTAGAATATCCCTCCCTTGTCTTCCACACACACATTTATGCGCAACTTCAAACCAACGGTCTATTGAGCCCCCATGGTGAGACAGTCTGTGCAGTAATCTGATGGATCAGCCAAGGGCCGTCAGACCTTTCTTTTGATCAAATACTGTAAAATGTACTCTCATTTCTACATTAAGGATACAAACCAGATGTATATTAACAGTTTGTTAATATAGGCATCTATATACGCCTCTTTATTCCAAGAGTGTTCCGACTAGTCCTACTATGCTGTGATTTACAAGTAATGGTCGCCTTCAAGCATCTTTGTGATTGGAAGAAATATGCTAAGATTTTAAGGAGTGTTCCCTATCATACATGTAGGGTTAGGGTCTTTGAACAGAGAAGTATTTGGATATCTACAATTGAAATGGACTTAAGTATACATTTGACAGGCTTTGGTATCAATGTCATAGTGCTGCCTCTGTCCTGAGAAAGAAAGACATAAGAAGAAGAAGAAAAGGGCAGCAAGAGAGCTTGAAGAAGACGAAAAGAGTGATGGTCCTTTATCTGATGTTGAAATGATGGTGTCAGCATCTTTGGGCCGTTCTCAGCTGACATGCCTCAAGCGGCCAATCAGCAACGGGTTTTCCGTTCCCACTGTTAATATTTAGGGCATAAATGAGAGTCTGTCTGTTATGTTTGAAAGAAATAACTCAACAGCAATGGCCCAGAGGATCAAGTGTTTTAAATATCGGGCGTGTCTGCATTCTCAGGATAATCCAAGGAAATTGTTTTCATAATTTAGAGCAGATCCTGGATCATTCCATGTAGGGATAAAGCATGTCAATGTACACAAAATAGCTAGTAAGATTCATTTTAAGATCAAGTACATTTTCAAACAAGGCAAGGGATATCTTTGCTTAACTTCTTGAACCTGCTCTGAACTGTTCCATTATCCATCTCTCGCCTGACATTTTCATTCACTCACCCGTTCACTAGTTCTCTCAAAATCTATCTGTCATCAATCAAATCCTCCTTTCTTGTCTCCACGCTCACATCTTCATTCACCTCATCCCACCACTCTTGCTCTCTTTTCTACCCCTCCTCCTTTTCTACCCCCCCCCATATGTTTCTGAGAAAGTCATCAGGATATAGACGGGAAAGTTAATGCTGCTCGAACAAATGACTTTTTGTGCTTGGTCTGTGTGTGAATCTGGAAGAATTATTGAATTAGTGTTTTATGAGCAAGAGGCATGAAAGGAGGACAAATATGAATGGGAGCCTCATGGGTATTTAAAACAAAAAGTATGAGCATGCCAATCTTTCAATGCTCATGCAAGACACAAATAAACAACACATACACACACATATGCATACTTGTTGTATTTTACCATTAGTCTCAGATGAGCAATTCTTAATAAAGCAGTCACCGTGCACGCAGAGACACACATTCTGGTTTTAAACATCTGGAAGCCAGCCCATGTGTCACACAGCATCAGGATGATTTGTGTGATCTGTAATGTATTTGATAATGTCATTAAAACCAGATGGGACATATGGAATATATGTTATCTTTTCAGAAAGTAGCAAAAGTAATATTCATACGGCATTCGTTCCTACATTACACAGACAGCTCACAAATGACAGGTACTAACTCAAGGCATTCACCAGAGAAAGAGTGGGGAAAGCAGACAGAAGGAATAAGACACATGGGGGACAAGATTATATAAAAAATAAACAATTGTTATATAAACAATTTCAGAGCCAATTAGCTGTGTGTTTTCTCAACAATGTATTGTGATTCAATGCTTTGTTAACAGAGCAAAGCTATAAGCAAATGTTTGCTTCACGTATGAGTTCAAAATGAACAGATTATTCCACCATTTTGTATTCATCAGGAGAATCTCAACTCTGATAGGCTTTCATGACACAGTGTCATGTGGATAATAAGAATCTCGCGCAATTGCACAACTTGCATCTATTTTCATTTTAGCATTGACTTTGTATGTATCTTATAAGTGTCTTTGACTAAAAGCGTCAGCTAAAAAAAAAGTAATATAATGTTATCCTTTAACCAATTTGTAGCTGATGTCTGTTTTCCCTTTTTCGCCTGTTTATCCATAAGTGTTTCCGTATTACTCTTTTCCTCTTTGTACTTTGCCTCAGCCATTATTCACATCCCCTCTTTACGATCGGCTCATGCCAGATGATTTGACTGCTCATGTGAAACATCATGAGAGCACCAACATGTGAGCACTACACGGGGATAATGACACTATCTGTATAACTGTTCCATGATTCAGTGCACTGAATTCTCCAGAGGTTATGAGACGTTGCCCACATGATGGAAAAAAGACAATCATTTTCTCTGACCTGAGGTCTTGAGTTGAGAGATTATGTTGTGTTAGTTTGACTTTTGGTCTGAAAGAGTCATAGACCTTCTGATGTAGAGGTACATTTAAGCACGACGTGGTACGAATGTCATTACATAGCCCCCACGAATCGCTGCAGGCAGAACACTGGACCTCAGCCAAGAACCGAAACCTCCTATTCCCACCTTAATATGTGGGAGGGAGGATAGATGGAGAGAGAGGGTGGGAGGTGGGAAACGTGGGTGGAATCGGAGGGGAGGGAGAGTAATCTTGATGAGTGGAAAGTTGGAAGAAAATTAAGAAAGGAAGAAAAGAAAACATAAGCAAAAGGTCAACCAGTCAGGCACCGTAGTGATAGCGAAAGGCGGAACGGAGCGGCGCAGAGGGAGGAAGAGAGGTGGAAACCAAGGGGAGAAAAGGGAGGTTCATTGGCGAGCAAGTGAGTGAAGGAAGAAGGCAGAAGGGGGGACAGAAAGTGTTCACAGGAGAACCACGAAGGAGGGATGGAAGGATGGAGGAATAATGAGAATAGCAGACAAGGGTGTTGACCACAAATCCCTCCAGATAGATCAGCAACACAGCCTGTAAGAATGTCAGGAGGGGGGAGAAATTAAATGAAACGACAAGAAGTGGGAGGCCTCAAGGAGGGGAGGCGAGGTGAGGGAAAGGAAGCATGGGGGCCAGGTCAAAGGGTGGAGGGAGGAAAACGTTTGTGACAAATGACGGAAGAAAAGCAGGGAGAAAGATAACCAAGGGGGGAATCTTAAAGGTGCCACTTGGTTTGTGAGATGTGTGGATTGGTCACACACACATACCAAGATTCAGCTGTCAAATGCAGGCTACCTCCCAGAAGTCGTGTGTGTGTGTCCTTCTGTGATGAAATGAGAGGAGATGGTTGGATGTTTTACTATTTTATAACTCTACGCACACACACTCATAGAATGGACATTTGAATAATTCAGCGTGTCTGCGCTGGTCCTGCCTTGGTGACTGACTGCGTTACGCTGGCTCACGACAGGGCAACACACACACACACACACACACACACACACACACACACACACACACACACACCTGTCCTATTCCTTCCCATGAGGTGAGCATATTCGTGGTGGTGTTATTTTTCGATCCTTTAGATACGCGTTAGACTTGGTTTTTCACCTTTTGACTACAAACCAGAAGCAGCTATACACAATATGTGTTCTTCTACCCTGCACACTATTGTTATTCAGCAGAGGAAGTATGTAAATGAAGGAGAACACCGTATTCACTCCATGTTTGTGACCTTTGACTTTCTCTAGGAGATGAAAGTACTATTTGAATCGAGAACGTTTCTCTTTTTCTAAATGTTCTTATAGTGTTGGTTTTGTATTAATGCCTCTGCTTGTTGGTGTGTGTGTGTGTGTGTGTGTGTGTGTGTGTGTGTGTGTGTGTGTGTGTGTGTGTGTGGTGTGTGTGTGTGTGTGTGTGTGTGTGTGTGTGTGTGTGTGTGTGTGTGTGTGTGTGTGTGTGTGTGTGTGTGTGTGTGTGTGTGTGTGTGTGGTGTGTGTGTGTGTGTGTGTGTGTGTTTGAGAGAGCGAGAGAGAGAGAGAGAGAGAGAGAGAGAGAGAAAGGGTCTAAAGTTAAGCATATGTTTACCCCAGTGATCCTGGTGTCAGCTTGCCGTGTCTCTTAACAAATGGGGAGATATTGGACCTTTTACAAACCTGCACAAAACACACATATACACTACACACATGTGTACACACACCCAAACAGAGCTGGGTTGCAAGTTGATGTCCATTAGCTGATTGTTGCACAAGCCTTATAGAAAAAGACTGTTAACAGTTTTAAGTTTAAGACCTCAGTCATGCTACATATCCCCTTACACCTCCTCACTGTGTGTACTCTCACCTACAACGGCCCAAAAATATATTCACTTTCAAGATGCAAATAAAAAAACAAATGAAAAAAAAGGCTGCAAGAAGCTCAAAATGGAAACGGTGACACTATAAAGTGAGGCACACAGCTGGGACTGGAACGCTTGTTGACGTTCGGTGATTATAAAGCTGGCCAACTGTCACTATCACTGGAAACTAAAATATATGTTTTATTGACTTATTTTAACAATGTGATCGCATAATTCCTACAATATTGTTGCAGATTACAAGCAAGCTAGCTAATGTAACAAACCTAGTCATTTGCAATATACTGAATCAACACTTACCGTACAATTATGAAACAGACTAACTCGAGAGTGGCAGTTGGCCAATTTTATAATCCCCAAAACGTCAACTCATCTGCATAATAACATGCTAAGATGGCCAAGCTGTACTCTGCAGATGTCAACCTGATTTGAGTTCATCTTAACTTAACTATTGGCTGTTTATCAAACATAACAGATAAAGGGTTACACACTGTGCACGTTATGTGAGTGATCACTTCAGCGTGGGTGGATAACACCAAAATGGGAAGGTTAAAACTTGAGATAAAGTCACACAGCTAAATAAAATATGCACACACAGAAAAAGCATATTTGAATGTTGACAGCAGGGTCAGGTTGGCATTGATTTAGAATATTTAAGAGACTTTCTTGGCAGTCCTTATGAAAGAAAATCAGCGTGTGAGGTCCTGACCTCTAACAGCAGTCTCTGCCCGCTTATCATCTTTATAGCCTGCTACTTATAAGAGAGATTTCAGTGTACTGAAGAGATTGGAAGGGCAGCCGTTGCAACAGTGAAGTGTTTGCATCAACAGCGGTTGAATCGCAGCAGCAGCTCTGTTTGGAGGCCCTGAGCAAAGCTGATAATAGAGGGAAAAAAGAACAGCATGTATACAGAAGGGCAAACACACACGCACACACACATTCTGTTACCAATTTCAACAGCTGGTAACGGACATTAGCAAGGTTATACGTTCACATAAACACAGTTGCACATGAAAAATCTCACACACTCTTATACACATACATTAAAGCACATACATGTGTTTGTGAATGTGTGTGTGTGTCCATGCACAACCTTTCACTGAGAAAAAGTTCCATCGCGCACCGAGGGAAATCAGAAAGCACCCACCAGCCCCTAACTCCTTAGAGTCAGACTTCATAATTACACTCTTACACACACACACGACACACACTTGTAATTACAGTCCGCTTCCACAATCCCATTACGTATTTTGGGGCCTTTAGGCGTTTTTCCATAATTTAACTGGTCACAGTTTCTGGTATTAAGGTTTATTGTAAGGGCATGAGTTCACTGCATGTGGCTTTGTAGCGTACACCCAGTGGGCCATGGGTTCAATGCTCAGCTGGCCCAGCAGCCCTGCTCCCGTTCCTGCAAGTTCCTTTCATCCGTATTCTGTCACCCCTGACGGGCCCTGCAATTTAATGGATTGGGAACTGAAGGAAAATGTACACACAGAAACACTCCAAAAACTAAGAAAACATCTATAAATGAGTACCCAAGCAAGTAATTGCAAGGCCTTTGGCTCCGTTGAATGAGGTTCTCTGTAATAAACACACCATTCAGGACTGATGTAACATAATAGAAAGAGAGTTGGAGACACCGAGGGGTAAAAAAGGCCTTTGAGGTTCCCTAATAAAAGAAAATCAAGAGGATAGACTTGTTTTTTTTGATAGCGGTATCGAGGGAGAGATGAAGTGGTGGAGACGAAGACAGACAGTAAAAATGATAGGGAGAGCAGCAGAAGACACACTGTGATTTCCTGTGGTGAGCCCAATAAAGACGGGAGTTTTAAAGAAGGAAAGACGTGACACTGTCAGATAGACCAAAATATATAGTCTCTGTGTCAAGAGACAAAAAGAGTGCTTCTGGCCATGTGCGCTGGCATTTCTTTTTCATCTGTTTTTGTGTGAGGAAATTACTTTGTGTGTGTGTTGAGTGTCGGAACTCCGAAGGCATTTTGTAGACAGTGTGTGTTCTGTGTGTATGTGAGACAGTATCATGTGTCAGTGCGCTGAGGGGCGACAGCGACTGTTTTTCTTTGCTCTCTGTGCGTGAAAGAGTAACAATGATGTTTTCCAGTGTGTGTGAGTGTGTGGTGGAGTCAAGAGGACGTGAGAAAAGGATGCTCTTCCACATACTTACACACTTGATTTATTACACACTGCATGCCCTCGGACTGTGTGTGTGTGTGTAGGGGGGTGTGTGGGGGGGTGTGTGCACTAATTTCTTCCTGTGTGAACAGAAGCAATATGTTCATTGTGTGTTTGTGTATGTGTGCACATAGGAGAAGAAGATGAGTCATGTTGTTATTTTAACTCATATAAAATACAACTATAACAATAAAACTGTCCAGTGTGAACTATACAGTAAATATAGTTGCTATGGATACCTGTTGTTAAAAAGTCCTTGTTCTGCGAACTGATTTACACGCTACATATTGTTGACCATGAAGTTATATTTGAGTTGTCCATGTGACTGTTGTCATGACACATCTGTGTATGCACGGGTTATGCAAACAACATAGACTGTCAACTAGAATGCCACCCGTAGAGAGCAGACCTCCAACAAGGCCAATGGTGCATTCACATGCCCCACGGATTCTCCCATTTCCCGAGTGGGGAAACCATTCTCTTTATATTAGTTAGTGAGCTTTAAGAGGCCCTATTATGCTTTTTGGTGTTTTCCCTTTCATGTAGAATGTTATATAGGTTTTTGTGCTTTAATGGTCTGCAAAGGCTAAAATCCCAAAGTTCCCTCCAGAGGGAGTTTCTCTCCCCCCCCCTGCCTTAAACTCCTTGGTTGTTGCCACCTGGTTAGGTGGTAACAACATGGACGCTACAAAGAGAATGTGTTGTGTTTTAACACCACGATAATATCTGTTTCGGAATTGTTGTTCCAAAAAGCGTTCCTATTTATTTTTCTATTCAGAAACAAATGTTTCACACACCACATGAACGAAGCACAAATTACTTATCTGGCACTATGGATATCAAGGGATGCCATGGATCCAAAATGTAATGTGTTCTTCCTTTTTCCATGCTACTCCGTAATCCTGCTGACAGACAAACAAACACCCTTGTTTTAAACTCTATTGTGATGAATTAAGCTAAGCTAAGCTAAGCCAAACATATTTGAACTACAACTTCACATTCAAAGATGATGTCCTTCTCTTAAATCCTTTAATGTTTGTCTATATTCTTTAAATATATTATTTCCTTACTTGGCCTAAGTGGAGTCAGCAATGCAGTTGTTTGGAGATTGTTTGTCAAGTTTTTGTGATATTAGCAGGCAGAAACCAAAAAGCAAAAATATGTAAAGAATATATGTAAAAAGTGTGATCATTTTTGCATGCAAGTAATCATAAACCAAAGTATTGAAAATGTGCCCATTTGGACCTGATGATGGCGCTAGATGAAATGAAGGGATTTCCAAAGTTATTTTCTGTACCACATTTCATAGCAATATATCTTATGGTTATATTGTTATATAGACATTTCACTCAGGACAATAAATGGGAACCTCATGTGGGCACTGAAAAAAAAAAGTTTGGGAAATGTTCTTCCAGTAGGACGGGGATCACTGAAGTCGTTAGGAGACATCGTCTGGGAACCATAAATGTCAAGAAATGTCAAGAAAATCCATCCAATGGTTGATATATTTCTCCTGTGTCACCTCTCTGCCCTTCCCGTACAGGGTAAAAATGGAAAATCCCTATAGTCATTAATGCAACATCATTCATTTTGTTCTCTATCTAGGTTTTCCATGCCAACACTGACGCCACAGAGGTGGTTCTCAATCGGATCCCGCAGCCGGTCCTGGCCCGCTTCGTACGCATCAAGCCCCAGACGTGGAAGAACGGCATCGCAATGCGGTTCGAGCTCTACGGCTGTCAGATCACAGGTAAGAAAGATTCAAAATATTTGATGTAGAGTTTCTCAGAGTTCTTCCCCTGTGGGACTCACCCTTGTAAAAACACAGTTGCGGTTTATACCAGTGATATACAGGCTTTTACACCCGGTCAGAAGGTGGGTCACGGCAAAAATAACTCCCTCAGAAAACATTTCCTGGAAATAAAACAAGCACGAAAATGAAAAAGGCGTCTGTTCTCTCCTTATTTACATAACCTAATGGTAAACAATTCAGTCATTTGTCCATCTCCTATTCATACTTCCCTCCCATCCATTTCTCTGTCTTCCACATGCACACCCACTCTCATGTGCACTCACACTCTTGCCCTCACGCTTTCATATACATATCCTCCCTCTCTGTCTCCCACTCACACACACACAAAAAGAAACACACTCGGTCCTAATAGAATAATACTAGAGTGTGATGTGTGGGTGATAACATCAGAGAGTAACAGGCTCTCAGCTTTCATCTGCAGCCCTGGCAAACAAACACGATTTCAACCAGCATAATCAGCTCAATACTATAAATAGATACAACTTAATTAGACTGTCTGTTTGTGTGTGTGTGTGTGTGTGTGTGGTGTGTGTGTGTGTGTGTGTGGTGTGTGTGTGTGTGTGTGTGTGTGTGTGTGTGTGTGTGTGTGTGTGTGTGTGTGTGTGTGTGTGTGTGTGTGTGTGTGTGTGTGGTTGTGTGTGTGTGTGTGTGTGTGTGTGTGTGTGTGTGTGTGTGTGTGTGTGTGTGTGTGTGTGTGTGTGTGTGTGTGTGTGTGTGTAACAGAAATGGTGAAAGAGAGACAGTTTCAATCCATTTGTGTGTGTGTCCCAGCTCCACTGTATCATTATTGGGTTAGTGCCTCTCTCTGCTACCATCATAGGGGCCATTGAGAGGGACAGATATGCTCTTATCTAGGAGGGCTATTTCAGCACCCACACAAATCACACCCAAACAATATGATACTGTGTGTGTGTGTGTGTGTGTGTGTGTGTGTGTGTGTGTGTGTGTGTGTGTGTGTGTGTGTGTGTGTGTGTGTGTGTGTGTGTGTGTGTGTGTGTGTGTGTGTGTGTGTGTGTGTGTGTGTGTGTGTGTTTGGGACATGGCATTAATCAGGTGTCTGCCTGTTTCTGTGTACCAAAAGCCTATTTTTGACCCTGTTTTAACAGCAGAAATTGCACCATGTATCCCCCTACTCCCAGCAGTGAGGACCCATTCAACCCTTTTTCTGATTTCCTCTGTATTGCCCATCTCTGCCGCCTTGTAATGTCTCAATCCATCAACGGTCTGAGGGAAAAACACTGACTTTATATGCGAAATCTTGATAGTTTCGGACTACTTTGGCTTTTGTTGCAGGGTAAGACAGAGCATCTAGTCACTTTAGAAGTGTGCAGAGTGGAAATCATGCCACACTTTCAGTAAGATATGTCTATACAGTAATCTGCAGAGAAACTTTATAACCAGCCATACCCGCTAATGGCCATGCAGTATCTCTTCCTCTGCCTTCCCTCTGCAAATAGACATATTTACAAGCTTGTGCCAGAACACACTGCCAGGGGGATGTGATAATGCCTTACACAGGCCTATAATGGCAGACATAAAGCAGTCAGTCAGTGACATGTCATTAGCTTAAATCACACTTTTATGTCTCTCTCTACTTCTTTTTTTGCACTTTCTACCTATCCCTCTTTAATGTTTTTTCTCCCCTCTCATTCTACTCTCCCCTCTGTCCTTCTATCGCCTTTCGCTGACAGCTTCCATTCCCTTTTTCCTCTCCCTGTCCCTCATGTTCCCCTCCCTATCCCTTCCCCTAAATCTCCCTCTTGTCTCCACCTCATACCACTCACCGTTCCCCCTTCCTTAATCCCGTTTTATTTTACCCCCGCAGCACCTATCAATCATTTATTTGTAGCACCTTTATCATTTTTTCTCACCAGGCTTATGTAGTGTGCAGGTTTCTAAATCTTTATAAATGTGTGTGTGTAGCCTTGTGCATGTGTATCGGCTAGGTAGAGGCTCACTGGTGGACTTTTCAGCTTTTGTGAGACCCTGTTATCATGAAAGCGCAGTGTGTGTGTGGGCTAAAACATCAGAGCATATGCAAGGGAAAGTGTGTGACTATTCAACTTCTATGTGAATAGAGTGTGTTTTAAGAGCTCTTTTCAAGTGTGTGATATCTAGCTATTTCTGCAATCTCCAGAGATGATATTCTCAACAACTCCCACCTGTATTAAAAAAACCCTGCTGGAATGCAGATGCCTAAGCAACACAAATAACAAACATAGAATAAACACAACAACAGGATTTTCTTGTGGCCTTCCATCATGGCTTAGATGCTGTTGTTTATTGTCGATTCATTATTTACCACAGTGAGGCGTGTTCGCAGACGTCACGCCATTAAACATTCATCTCCATGTGGACTTGAAGAATGTCACCATCAATCACCGTCACCTTCACTGTCATCCTGCCTCTCCCTCCTCTCTTTCACTAGCATCTCCCTTTATCTTTTCTCACCCTCTCCATTCACTTCCATCTCTCTATTTTACCTTTCTGTCTTTCTCTTCATCTCCTCCTTGTCCTTCAACTCCTCTTTCTCACCCCTTATCCTCAACCTTCGGTGGCCAACAGGTGCTAACGTGCTAACAGCCTAAAACAAATGAAGAAACATCTTTACCAACTTGGCAACACATGCACAGCATTTAGAAAATATTCACCAACATGATGAAACAAGCGCAGCATTTACTTAAAGCGCTGCTTTACAAAATGCTGCAACTAAAAAATGCTGCAAATTTAAAAAGAGCTGCAAGAAGATCAAAACGGAGTTTGGGGTTTATAATTGTTTTGTCAGTACATTTGAAATGACCTACGTAAACTAGCTAGCTTAAAGCAGGTGTGCAATAATAGGAATAAAATCTTGCAATCAAATTATTGAAATATCCAATAAAACCGACATTTTCGGTAAGTGTCCAGTGACAGTTGGCCAACTTTATATTTCTCGAAACGTCAACAAGTGCTCCGGTCCCAGCGGTGTGCCCATGTCTGATGTGTTTTGAGCTTCTTGCAAATAATAAACACTACTTCTTGGAAAGGCTGCTCATGTTCCGTCAAGTTGGTGAATGTTTTCTAAATGCCTCACGTGTTGTCAAGTTGGTGAAGATGTTTCTTCATTTGCATTTGTTTTGGCACATTTGAATATTTATATTTGCATCATTTTTGTAATTGCAGTGCGTTTCTTTCTTAAGAAATGTTGTGGTGCATTGGCACCTGTCCGCCACCGTCTTGACCTACCTTCAGTCCACCATTTTCAAATTAGAACGGTCATTTTCTTTCATTCCCTTTGTTATTGTTGTATGGTAATAACATATGCTGATGCTTGTTAGACGTAAACACATTTGCCAGCATAATAAACAGTATCCCTTTGATCTTCAGCATGCTCTCATTTACTTCCTCCATTTGGGAGTTCTCTGACTGAATTCCCCAGGAAGACTCCCGTTTTGGAAGCTCAGTTAAAGTTATGCATCAGCTTTGCAGCTGCGGGAGGGAGAAATAATTAAATGATGGAAAGCAGCAAAGTGCAGAATTGTACCAATCCAGCACCAAATCACACAAAAGGATTGCTTCTAGATGAGATCAAACAGTGATACTAACTTATTCCTGACCTTAAAGTCACATTCATTCATCAAGTGTAGCCAGACTGAATTTAAAAGCCAGAAAATCCAAAAGATGATAATAATAATGGCATGTACAATATATGTCCATTAACTTCCATCAATACTAACCTTTTCCATATAAATGTTTCAAATTGAATGTCGACCTTCCTGGCAGCCTTGAATTTAATTTTACATTTTCATTTCACAGACTCGAGATGTAAAATCAATCACAGTAAACATTTGGTTAACTATTTTGTCAATTGCATTTCATCACAGTTAACACAGTTTCATGCTGAGCCAATTTCAGTTGTCTACAAAGCTCAAACGCTAACCCTTTAATGCAAGAAACAGTATAATTTTCACATCAGACAAAAATAGGGGTATCTTTTTGGCAGCTGACTGTCAAATGTTGCTGTATGGATTTTCAGATGTTCTTTTCTACTATTGATTACATTATTTGAAAAAAGGCTGTATACAGCAGTGACGTAACATATTATTATTCCCTTCTCTCTCTGTTCAGATGCACCCTGCTCAGAGCTGCAAGGCATGTTGTCTGGACTGCTCCCCGACTCCCAGATCTCTGCGTCGTCCATGAGAGACATCCACGGCTCCATGGGGGCCGCCAGGCTGGTGGCCAGTCGCACAGGCTGGTTCCCCAACCCAACACAACCCATAGCTGGAGAAGAATGGATACAGGTACGTCACTTTGTCCTAAAGAGGGATGCTGGTTTTACAGTACTGGCTGCGTTTTTTCTAACATCAAAACAATTGTAGTAGGAGATCAGGGGCTACAGGTTGGGTTCATGATACTTTATCTGAAAGGTAACTATTGCTAGATGGAATGGGAGCCTCTTTACTAGTTCTGCTTTTATTTCCATTATTCTTCATATTCATTGGGTTGTAATTGCTGTAACGTAATTGTGTCAGAAATGTGTCATACCATCAAAACTGGGAGCATCTAACAAACCAAAATGACCATCATTAGCTAAAGCATCTGCAATGGCAACGACTGGTGACAAATGCTGGACAAACTATTATTTCAAAGCCCATTTAGGATAACGGGTGGGTGCTGGAATCAGTTGTAAGAAACAAAAGGTGTACAAGATTACATTGCAACGTGTAGGAATACTGAGAATAAACCATATGTCAACTGGAAGGGCACTTGGAGAACACATATGAAACATATTGGCGTTTCAGATAAGCTCCAAATTGTTATAGGTTCTCCCTTGGCCCCCATTGTTATGAAAGTAGGCCAGTCGTTTTTACCATTATCCTGACTGACAAATAAAATGCCCAACAAACATGACTCCTACATTGGACACCATTCAGAGACACCCACTAGCTTGTTATTCTGAATGTAGCCAGTTCATGAAATACCATGAAAATGCCCAAAAGAGCATTGTTTTTAAACATGGCAACTTGTGACAAATTCTATAATGAAAAACCAGCCTTGTGTTGGCTTCAGTGGAAGGTAGAGTCGCCACAGTAGGCAGACAATCTGGAAAGTGGTGGGCATCTGTGATGATGATGTTTCTCTGTGTTGCAGGTGGACCTTGCTGTCCCCAAGACGGTGCGTGGCATCATTACCCAGGGTGCAAGAGGGCTGGAGGGCAGCACCGGTGCTGAGAACAGAGCGTTTGTCAGGAAGTACAAACTGGCCCACAGCTTGAACGGCAAAGACTGGACGTACATGATTGACAGCAAGACTGGGTTTGCTAAGGTAAAGAAGAGGAACTGTGTTTTCTGACAAGTACACATGTACTCTCCTCTCTCCTGTTGTTACTGCCAGCTCTCCCTCATTTGTAGGTTATATATAACTCTGTTTCAACTCAGTCCCTCTTCACTCTCCCTGTCTTTCTCTCTCTTAGCCATGTCATTTAAAAAAGAAAAATACATTTGATTACAGCCTCAGCTCTGATAATAGTTCACTTTAATCACCTCACTCGTCTTTCTCCCTGCTTCTGCCTCTCTGCTCTTTCTCTGAGTCTCTTCCTCTATTTGTCTCTCATGGGTGTTAATTAAAAATGTCTTTCCTGCATCACCACTCAACACTCCTGGCAGTGTGACGCGAGACAGGGCACTCTCCTTTCTGAGACTCCGTCCTAAAACTACTAGAGCTTTTCTCCTGATGCTAAAATCCTGTTCTCTCTCATCTGCCTGTCCATTTAAATGAGCATCCTGGGAAACTCATCATACCGTTTTCATTACATTCTAGAAATGGGGAAATATAATTAAATTAATAAAACCAATATTGCAACTTTCACAGATCCCATATTTTGAAAAGATTGGAGCCAGTCTTGTCAGTTTTCAGCTTGAAATAAATATTGTGCTTTTTGCCAGAGGCTGCTGAGAGCCGCCTGAAAGAAATGACTTGAAAATCAAAGGAAACAAAGTCTGTTATTTCTATGGCACATGTCACACCGTGCTTTGAAACAATGCCGATTTGGATTGTCGTATGATTGTTGAGAAACAGGCTCATGATTCTGCTATTGTTTCTCAATGAAACATGGCGAAATGACACATTTAACAACCTCTGCAGCGTTGACCTTTTACCCTATTGTTTCAGGATACTCATGCTTTCTTCAGCTCAAAACAATGTTCCCACTCTGACAGATGCAATATCTATCAGACAAACGAAAGCTCATCATTCATTATATTGTATCTTAGAAACGTCTCAGACAGCTTTGGCATTAAGACAAACTCTAGGACAAACAGAGAGTGATACTGTTACACATTTTCCTTTCAGTCACAGCAGGGATCTTACTGTGCTGAGCCACAGCCAAAAAACAGCTGCCATCCGTAGAGCATGCAACAGAACATTACTATATTCTCAAATCGAGTGAATGGATCATAGTAAAGTGTTATTGTGGCAAAACTGGCGTGAAAATATCCTTTATACTAGATAGGAAATGCTGTATCTCACTTGTGATGTAAAAATAGTAGAGATCTCTCTATTAACGTCGGTATAACGTGCCTTTGCCCTGCCTTTTTTCTAGATTTTCGAGGGGAACGGCCACTATGATACTCCAGAGGTGCGCAGGTTCGATGAGATAGTGGCCCAGTTCATCAGAGTGTTTCCGGAGAGGTGGTCGCCTGCTGGCATCGGCATGAGGATGGAGGTCCTCGGATGTGAACTGCCAGGTAAGAACATGCAAGATAACAAAAGGCTATACAATACAATACAGCTTTATTTATAGAGCACTTTAAACCTGTACAGTCAAATAAACAAAACAGAACATACAAAACACAACACAGCACAGCTCACACAACATCAAATATAACACACCCAGAGAGAAACGACACACACACGCTGTCACATACACAGATGAACTCACAACTACAAGCTTGCAGGAATGAACACTTGTGGATGCACAAACAAAAGCAAACAAATACATACGTAACATCTGACCTTTTGTAAGAATTCTGACTTACATCTCAGAACCAAAAAAATAATTAGCTTTTGATCTAATGCCAAAAGATTTTGCACGTGGCCCTTATTCTCTTCCGTAGGGTATGGCTCCATAAACAATAAACTGAGAAATAAAGATATTGTAGAAGACACTGAGAGTATATGGGAATGTTTTCTGTTTCATAACAATACAATAGAAAAAAGCTCATACGAAACAAGAACACACACATCCTCTGTGTCCACAAATTCTCTTATTTGTTGTCTCTAGCGCAGCTCCAGTCTTTGTAATCGATGACATCATCGGTGTGATACTTATTTCTCCGGTTTCTTGCTTTGAGAGAGTAGCTCATATTAAGAAATATTGGTTGAACTTTCCTGGTCCTCGTTAATAACATACTGGAATTTAGAATTAAACATGTAGTCCACTAAACACATATTATCTATTATCTATCTAAATAATACACATTATTGTTATAATAATAATATGTCTGCATATATTACATAATCCGTAATCACAAACAAACCTTAGTGACGTAAATGTGATGCGTGCTTATGAGGATTTATAATGTGCGTGTTTGCTTTCTTTTTGTGTTCTAATCTGGTTTTGTGTTTGGCTTTGTGTATCTGTTTGTGTATAGAGTAGAGTAAGCTATACCTACTGTATGTACAGTTATAATGCATGTGTGCATGCACAGAGGTTAAAGTTAATCATCTTGCTCTATAGGAAGTATTGGAGCATGTCTGGACAGGGATTAACATGTCTAGGTCAGGGGACTTTCACTAATGGTGGCCAGCTGTGTAGTTGCACTATATTATGTTAATACCATGTAGCCTGTGTGTTGTGAAGGATTAGGTGTAGACAGGACATGGTCTAGTGAATTTTGGTATTTGTGATCAATCCGTGATCTCCTCAATGATTTGTGTAAAAGGTTGTTTATAAAGAGCGGCGGATGCAGACTGTCTGTATGTTTCTTTATTGAGCTGTGTGAGCTCCATTTATAACAATACGTAACTGTTGTGGGGAGCTTGTTAGCCGCGGCAAGCAAATTATTCTCAGCTGCATAATAACTTGGATTATGAAGCAGACCATTGTACAAATCTCCCCACATTATTAAACGTGAGCAATAAAATTGGCAGCAATACATTTTCTTTACATCTTAATATGAAACAATCAGTTCAGATAAAGTCTGAATATTGAAAAGCCTACAAAAGTAACTGAATTGAAATGTTTATTTACCAGCCTCTTTCCTTAGTTGAAAATGGGACATTTGAATTGCTACTGTTATGGCCAACCTCCTCTCCTCTCCTTTCCTTTCCTTTCCTTTCCTTTCCTTTCCTTTCCTTTAATTTTCTTTACTTTCCTTTATTTTCCTAATTATTTTTCCATCACTTGTCTTTCCTTTTATTTCATTCCTTTGCTTCCCCCCCCCCCCCCTTCCTCTTCTCATCTCTTCCCTCCCCTCTCTTCTTCTTTATGTGCCATCTGATCTTACTGCTTTACTCAGACTGTGATATGAGAAAGCTGAAGACAAGAACAGGAAATGACACGTACCTGTTCCCAGTGGACGAGAAGTGTCCTATATAACACACTACAGGAATGGGAAAACCCCAAAAAGCGAATAATAGGCTCCTTTATTCAGAGGTGGCTTGTTTGGATGTTTTTATCCTGATTAAACCACATTTTTTGTTTCATGTAAAATATGCATGTGCTGATATAGCAACCCTCAGGCGCAACAAAGCAGCAGTGATAACTTAACATAAAAATAATCTTTGCTTTTTTACCAAACTGCTTTAGAGCTTTTACAAGTTATGTATCATGTATGGAAGCAAATGTTTTCTTTGTAACGGAGATGAATGTGCGCTATATGTCCAATCATGCAGACAAATCATGTAATTGCACCGGCCATGGTTTATCCTTCCCGTACACATTGGTTTTCATCGCACCTAACGACATCTCACTCGTGCTATCTGCAGCCATCATCTCCAGGATCGCAGTACGGATCAACCTCTTGGCTATTGCAGGTTCTGTGATTGTCTGCTCGTCTGGCTCTCTATGTCTGCGTGCCAGATGTTTGCCTTCTGGATGTAATCTGTGCACAATAACAGTTCATTCCCACTTTACAGCACAGCAACTGCTCCTGCTGCCATCCCTAAATACCACACACAGTCACACACTAAGATCATTCTACATCTTCGTGGCTTAGAGCAAATAGATTTAGTTGGATTTCACTTTATCTGGTTTTTAATTGTCTGAAGTTAGGATAATAACCCTAAAAAAGTCGTGCAGCCAGAGCCATTTAAGGGCTATATATAAAAACAATAAAACTGAAAAACACATCCGAAAGACAAAGTAGACTTTGTTTCTCTTCTCGCTTGTTTGGTATTTTGTGTGTGTGTTGGGTTGTAACGGGAGATAAAATATTCAACAGAGTGCATCAGCTTCAGTCCACTGAGCACAGCTGTTTACACATAAGTCACCAGCACACAAAGAAGCACACATTTAACTCCAGTGGCCCTCTTCTATAAATTCACACACATACACACGGCTGCAGATAGGAAGTAAGATATAAAGTCATGCAGGCCCTTTTCATCTCCTTTCTACGAGAAGAAATCATATGAGGTTGTTTTCATTTATCCATCTAATACTTTCCATGTATATAAACCAGAAGCATTCAAATGATTCAACCTTGATTCATTCTTTTTACCAAAACAATGCACCCTTAAAGTACCATGCTTTTGGGGGGCTTTCCCTTCCCTGTAGTGTGTTATATAGGTTTTTCTGCATGTAAATGGTCTGCAAAGGCTAAAATCCAAAAGTTCCCTCCCAATGTCTGAAATTGGATACCTTTGTTAACTTCCGTAACATAATGACGCCATTACGTAACACTCATGCCTTATTTGCTAATGCTCCAACACATTCACTTTGATAAGCTAAGGGACGGGACATCTCTAAGTGAATCACAACCGAGCCAGCCAGCTAACCAATCAGAGCAGACTGGGCTCTGGTTTCAGACAGAGGGTGAAAAGAGGTGCTGCAGCACAGGCAGTATGAGAAGAATAAAGACCTTTCTGAACATTTAACCTTGTAAACATGTCACGGTAGAGGCAAAGAATCCAAATAGGAACTTGAAAATTAGCACAATAGCTCATTAAGCCTCCTCACTTTAAAAAACAGGATGGAAGTAGTTTTAACAACCCTGCATGTCCCAGTGCTGCTCGGTGCTGCTCAGGAAGTAAAGGAATTAATGAATCGATAAATAAAGAAAAGGAGACATCCGCGGTGTAGGGAAATCACATGTTCACTGACACACACACACACACACACACACACACACACACACACACACACACACACACACACACACACACACACACACACACACAGACCAGCCCGCAGTGGATGCAGCGATCTTTCCATTATTCAGTAGTTATTTTCAGGCCTCTGTACCCTGACATAAATAACAAATCTGCGCCCATTAAAACCATTTGAGATCATATGAATTACTCCCATATTTAACCATCCATATTGCCAGTCTACTGCTATACATTGTACATCATACATCAGAAGTATTATGGACTGTATGTGTGTGAAGGCAGCATGCTTAACATTCTAGATTATGCATTGTTCAGTAGAGACAAAGCCAATCTGATACCATGCCAATCACAAACCTTGTATCCTCTAAACATCAGCTTTAACAAACTCACAAATTGCTTTTCCATTACGGTATTGCCCCTGTATTGTTTTGTATTTAAAATGAAGTGCATTGACCTCGCTTCGGGGCTGTAAAACAATTTCCCCACACGGGCAATCTCAGCACCCAATTACAATGAAGAAATCCCAAATCACGGATACAGGGTTCTTACAGGGCACACAATAATGCAGTTTAGCATCTCATTATTTGTAGCAAACCCAAAACAGAAACAAAAGCCAGAATATTATTGCACTCATTCTGATCATTCACGCTAGCTTTGGAGGCAACATGTAATTTAGGACTTGTAACCCCCGACTATTGGATGATGAGAGCTGCCAAGCTGCCAGCTTTGTTCAGTTTTAAATGACCGAGCTATCAGAACATCTGCTATGCTCTCATCACTTTCACTCCACACCTAGTTGTTGGCAGGCAGGCAGATAAGTACACACACACACCACCTGTTTGGTATAAACAAAAAGGTTTGTTCGTAGTTGTGTAAATACATGCTTATGTTTTCATCTCCATTGAAAACTGCAGTGTTACTAGGGGAAAATAACAGAGACTGTGAAATACATCGAGAGAAAGGCGGCTTTGTGTCCGCTGTCTCTGAGTTGTTTCCAACAGCTTTGTCTTCATTCTGCTGCTGCTGCTGCTGCTCTTTAGATCATGAATCCTCACTTGTCTCAAAACCTTAAACACTACCAAACATATCCTGACAGAAATGAAGCTTCCTCAAGTCAAGACTCAATCCACAAGTCCAAAAAGAGGTGGCCCGAGTAAGGAATTGAAGATGAGCCATCCACTTAACATGGCTAGCCCAATGGGCTGTTACGATACAGCTGGTGTAATCCTATCCCATGCCTTGTTAAGTTGGGCCAGTTATAGCAAAGGGTTGCAAATTTGACGATCTGGATAACTTGGAGAGATACCTAAAAAAAAAGAGATGGTTGTATGTGACAAATCCTATAGCGGTTTCTTGTTAAATAATACTGAGGTTATAATATAACCAAGAAACTTCCCTGCGTCACCATTTCAGATGC